TAAGGACTAAAAAAATTTCTCGTTTTTTGAAATAAACAGATAAGACATAAATACAAGTTTTTATTCCTCGACTATTTTGTCTAATCTTTTACATTAATTGTAAGATAGGGTTCCAGAATATTAGACGACATATATTCCTATATCGACAGCACATATAAGTAGTTATTTTAAAATAATGAATAAACTCTTTGAGCGCAACTCAAAACTTAACGAATCATTTAAAATCAAATAATTGATAGAAACATTAAAATCACTCAAAACACAGATTATTTCGTATTGAATGGTAAACACATTTACTGCAAATGTCTTACAATTGGGAATGCAATTTAGTGGCAGAAAATAAAACAATAATTTCTTTACAAATAATTACAAATAACAGGAATCGGCGGATATATAATATATAATCACAATTTGTATGAAGAGTGAGATATAGGGAGAAGTGCTGTGAATGAAAAGAATTGCTGGAATTAGTTCTCTTAAGAAGTTGTGTTGGCTGTGAGACCATTGAAAGACATATTATGCCAAACACTACATAAATGTACAGTCGATTCAAAATCTCTATAGAAATAGACGAAACGCGATTCGCTTCACATGTTTTCGACTCATACTTTCTGCACACGAATTAATAATAGAGGAAAATATAGTAACCGAAGGGAAAGGGAAGGCAACACTCATTCTGGACTCAATCCAAACAATCCAAGAGACTGACAGTCCTCGTCATCTGTTCCATCAATAGTACGGCGCAAACAGTCTTATCAGTCGTTACGTTAGTTTGCGGTCAAGGACTGGGACTGTACTGTATCGCACATTCTGCATACATATCGCACTTTCTTTTTGTGTACATTTCTAGTCATAGAATCGTAATATTAAGTGGTATTTCTCAAAGAATATTGTGTCAGACATTCTGTGACATTTTGCTCAAGGATTTGGATTAACGTTAAAAAATAAATTCGCGAACAAATGAGTGGATTAACTCATCACGAGTTTAGCAAAAACAATGAGTTTATAATTAGAGACAACATTCATATGACTTACAAGTTTTGAAGAATTTTTCTAATTGTTGTAAATCTAATGCATGAAAGAAATTGAAAAGAGATTTTCCGGTCAACTCTTCTGAGTTATAGCCAATGATTTTATTAATGCTAATAACAAAGAGACAAACAAATTGGTATTCAATATGAGTCCAAATATGGTAATTAAACATGAGATCAGACCTGTCATCGACGTGTATATACTTCATGTCCATAGAGTGACGACTAATAAACACATCGCAACTGAAGGGCACGTCAACAGACGTCGGCTGATCTATGGGTTCGCAAATAGTAATCATAAAATAAGTGGACGTTTGCGTCAAACACTCGGACGCTTCGGGTGTCTCGTCTGAATCAGTAATACTCTTGAGATGTCCGGTGCAGTGAATTACCTGATCATCAAAATTCAATCATAAATTCAATTAATTATTAAAACTTAATTTCTTGTGTCAAACCTTATAATTGGCTGATTTTAGGTTCAGATTTCTCCCTTTATTAGTGAGCGTACACTTCATGCGAACAAATATCGAGCCTAATATTGGATTAGTTTTATTGTCATCGCTTTCATCGCAATTCTTAATATTCTTGAGCGTCAGTATGTCTTTGATGTCGTTGTGATCGCAGGGATGACTGTAATCGTAAATGCTTTGACCGATTAAATCGATTTGATTCAAACCAAGATATTTGTCCACATTTTCTGACAGGTAAACCATATCTCCCTCTTTGGACAGAACTAATAGAAAGCCATTCAGAGCTTTGGCGGTCGAATAGTCCTCAATAATGGGTTCGGTTTCGGTCTTAAATTTCGACACAACTATTAAATGAAATAAATTTAAATATCGATAGAAAGAGAAAATGTGTGATCAGTGTTCGTCGCTTACTCTTTATGGGTTCAATCACTTGACGGATCTTCAGGTAATTGATGGCAAGTCTAATGAGAGACGCTTTGTCCAAATGGCTGATACTCTTAGTGGGAATGGGGAGCAAAGCCTCCAACTGGTCAAAGATCATCGACTCCTGGCTTCTCCTCTCTCGGGCCGCTTTACGCGACTTCTCCTTCCGTTTCTCCGAATTCCTAATCATAATATATAATCAATTACTTTAAACTTCTGACACCAAAAAATATCTGTTTTATATTTAAATATAATTTTCATTCATTATCATTCACTGATAGCGCTATTTATCTAATGCTTAATAATATTTTTCAACTAAATTAATTCAATCGCTGTTCAGTTTATTTCGTATTTCAATTATAAATCATTAATTATTTGAAAGTTATAAAAACTCAAAATTGAGGTCTCATTCAGTGGAAAGTTTTCAATATTTAAAAACAAACATAAAATGGATTACAAATGAGTTAGAGCTACGAGTAATTCCTTATATTTTAAGTTTTAAATATTACTTCAAAATTAACTCAAAACAAATATCATTCATTAAGAAACCCAAACAAACAAATGCTATTTAAACACAAATAAAAATAAAAATATAACAAGAATTTAAAAACAAATAAAAACATATTGTTTAGCAAAGACTCGGATTACTTTTGAGTCGAAATTCTTGAACCCATTTTTAACGATATCATAATTAATGAAATAGTGTTCAATATTTCTATGAATACATAGATATATTGTTTACAGATTTCAATGGGGTTTTAAATAATTACATAATATTTCCACAAATTTCATATGATTTTCAATAACACTTTAAATTAATGTCATAAATCATAAACGATTTGTTTTAAAATGTTGTAATCGTATAAAATATATATACACTTTTAATTTTCACAATAAATCAAATGTTTTTCGTATTTAATATAATTAATTACCACAACATATAACTCATATTTAATATCAATATCAGTAGCGAATATCAAAACGTTTATTTTTAGATCAAATTTCAAATAAAATATTTTTTAAAAAGCGTAGGTTTGCTGTAAAATAAGGTACAATTTGGGGCACAAATTGAACAAAATTTTAAAACTATCGGTGAATTGATTGCCATAAAATTGTTGGCCTCAATAGACGTGCGGATCGTTTGGGACCTAAACTTTAGGTTTTAATTAACAATTTTGAAGATATAACTGAGGATTGAAGTGATAAGCAGAGTGTCTATGGATCAACACTCGAGGCAAAAACATTTATCCCTCAAAATTTTTGCAAAAACTTTTCCAAAAACTTTGATTAATAAACAGATTATATTCAATAATTTCTTCGGCCGTCCATTGAATTTCGAAAAATTATGGGTTTTTATTTATTAATGCTTATACTTTATAACCGAGTGTTTAGTAATTAAACTTTAGTGTTAATCGATTTCAAATGTTCGCCCATTTCTCGCAATCAAATCTAATTTTAGACAATAGGAAGTGATTTGTATTCAATATTTTGTTCGCAACGAGTTGTTTGTGAATTTGTCAAAGAAATCAATTAAACGAGTCGTTTGAATGATATCTATATGTGGTCTCTAAAGACCAAAAAGGATACGGATTTATTGGGAACTAAAGATTAAGTAATGTTAAGCCCAATGCAGTGTTTGTGAGGACATTGATTGACCACTCGATCGCCTCTACAGTACTAAAGTCTCAATTCATTTGAATCACAAATACAGTAATCAAAAGCTGATTAATCTCTAACTGGACTTTCGGACAACAAGTTTTGATTAAGAAAACAAATTGTCTTCTTATAGGCCATTCATCCCATCTATTGATTTAACCCCTAATACTCTGCACTGTATTTGTATGTTATTTACAGCCAAAATGTTAGATATCTTCAAATTGAAAATATTTTCAAACGTCGCAAACACTTTCAAAACGCCGTATAATATTGAAAGCAAACACTGCTTAACGCATATAATTGTAATTTTATGAACTAAACTAAACCGCAAATCCATTGCATAACACATTTAGGTCTCACTAATAACTCATTGAACTCATTAAAGAAAGCAACAAGTCTTACAGTAAACTTAATTTACCGTATATTTTGTATTTTTGTCACTAAATTTCCATTGAATTCCTGTTATTCTAAACGAGAATAAGATTTTTATTACAAACTTTTTTATTGACTACTCGTACAGTGTATTTAATAACACTTTTAGTTAACAAATATTAACGCAATCGTTATAACACCGGTAGTGAGAGTACGTATAAATGTATCAATAAAGTGGATAGGGTAGAATTGTCGTCGACTATCATGTGCATATAATAAATCCTTATTTATTAAACTTATAAATCTATAATACGGGAAATGCTTTCATTACAAAACGGATAGATTTACTAAATAAATATCAATAATAATTACGACAATACATCAATATATAGTGTAGGCCAACAACATATCAGTCAATAATAGTTTGTAATAACATAATGCTATAAACATAGTGTATTGAACATTAAATATACCACAAATATACACATTATGTACCATAGAGTCAGACATTGGGTTCATTAAAATGCATAAATTATAGTGAGTTATATCACACTATATAATGAACATATCGTATCTAAAGAGTACATTAAGTGCTCATCAGTATTAAAAGTGTTACCGAAGAAAAAAGTGTACATAAATGAGTTGCAAATCACAAACTTGTGAACAGACTCTGAGAGCGCACATAAAAACACGGTTTGGTTTTTCTCAAAAACTGTTTTTTCTCTCTCACGACAGATCTAACTATCAAACCATTATATTTGCTAATAATTAGATTAAACCCTTTTTATTATGAGTTAATTTGTAGTTTATATTCAAAAGTCTATTACTATACCCTATTTTATCGACTGTTTGTGTCATCGATTCAAGTATTTATTCAAAATCATTGATAAAAATTTTATTGAGTTTCAAAATTATAAATTCACAGCAAATCACAAACTATTCAAACATTTAATTTCTTATATCAGCAGTGATTACATAATGAAAAGTTGCGCTTTTTTGTCAACTTTTCATTACTTGGAAAATATATGCAAAACTCGTTAAACACACGCATAAATTGTCGACATTATACGGTATAACGAGTGTTCATTATACAGAGAATAGGCTGTACTCTTACTTTTATGCATTACTTTTACGTCACTTTACTATCAAATCTATGACATAAATATCGTCACATTTCGGCTCAAGAATATTACATTCGGCAATCGTGCGGAATAATGAGCATGCACCATTTAGCGCACAATTTAGCGCACAATCTAACGCACCATTTAGTGTACAATTTAGTGCCATTACAACCACTGATTTCTAACTCAACACTCAATTAATGACATTAACAGCCAATATATGGTACGATATGATAGGCCTGTGTCCGCATCTAATCCCTGACCCAGATTTCAATCCATATTTTAATCCACATTTGTTTTTACATTTAATTCAATACATAATAATTATCATTAATTAAACACTACTTTCACTCCGTATTGTGTACTGAATTGAATGTACACTATATGGAGGGCCGGGGATGGGATAGTTGTGCGGACACAAGCATAGCGTGTATTGCATAAGAAAACATTGGGACCCAAAAGGCGTTCAAATGAATGGCAAGAAAACACATTACGATAACAAACAATACATACTTTCGTTTGGGTTTAGCATTAGTTTTATGTGGATTTGTATGCGTTTTGACGGCCAATGCGTCCATACATTTGCTTAAATCACTGTTTTTGGTCCGATTTTCACTCATTATTGTTTGGGTTTAAGGTTTCAAATCATATCAAAAACACAATAACTGTTTCACACATTGAATTTAAAGCATAGGGTTTGCGGTTATCTTTGGTCCAAAACACGGGTCCACACGAGTGGGCCCTTCACTACACACTTATAATATGATGTGTTGTTTGTTGTGATGTATTAATCGACACAAATATTGACAATTTAATTGATAGTGGATTTAATTGGATATATGTTTTAAAAAGCATACATTGAATCATGTATTGAATGATGTGTTTTAGTTAGCGATGCTATGAATGCAATGCATTGAACAAAACATGTAAAGCTATAGCACTGGTAATAATGGCCCCAACAGTCGCGCAACCATAACATACATACTCTATATTCACGTCACAGACATTCAATGGCCAATCGTTGACTGCCTTTCTCTCTCTCACTATGTGTTGCAAACTATTTGTATAAAACTTTTTTTTTTACTTCTCTGCCCGAAAAAAACTAAAAACATTCAATCATTGATTGAATTTCATTGCAAATACAGTTAAGAATTGGTTTATATTTTGTTCGCTTTGTCTATGATTTATGTAAGAAAAGTATTTCCAGATTTTTGTCCACTTTTTGGTCAATTTCAATGTGTTTTTCTGATAGTTTTTATTCATAAACAATAACGTTAATTAACTTTTTTAAAATTATGTACTCATTTCGTTAGTTCCCATTCGTTAAGTCGGGAATCCTATAGACTTGTCGATAAATCTATGGATATTTTACTGTATTTTTCATTTCTTAATATGTTTATTATTTTCCTGTTATTAAAAAGTTAAAATTCGTGTTTTTCTTTGCTTGTCCCTCTTCTTAATCTCTCTCTCTCTCTATGTGTTGCAAACTATTTGTATAAAACTTTTTTTTTTACTTCT